ATATAAGATTGAGAGTGAGTTGGGGAATACAGTAAGTATCAAGAAGAGAAGTGTTTAATGTCGATATTGTTCCGATATGACTCACAGTCATAGAAGAACCATCAGCAGTTTGAATAGTCGGAGCATGATTAGCAAGATGTTTGGCGACAAATATAGTGGAATCAGGTGTCATGTGTTTAATTATCCGTGCATGGGTGGGTCTTAGATGATCTATGTCCACACTCTCCAGCGCATTGAAATGGATTAAAAAGGAAAGTCATGGCACTTCTTGGCACATCAAAACCAAGCAGATTGCACTTACCACCACCGTTTACCACATTTGGATGGCAAGGAACATGAAGATTTTTGAAGACCTTACACCACATGTGGATAGTGTTGTTCGACGAATCAAAATACACGTATACAAAGTCATATTTTCTTTTACCACATTTGGATGTCAAGGATCTTGAAGATTTTAGTAGACCTTACACCACATGTGGATAGTGTTGTTCGACGAATCAATTTACTCGTATACAAAGTCATATTTTCTTTGTATCCGAATGTTTTGATTCTTTGAGAGTCATTAGCTATGGGTCACTAGTCCATATCATTTGTACATCTTTTTCTTTCTTTTGTTTGCTCGGGTATGCCTGGAGTAGTTATACTATCATTTGATTGATGTTTCGCCCGAGAATGCCCCTAGTTGTATGGTCATTTGATTGAAATTTTGCCCAAGAATGCCCGGTGTACTTGTATATGATTTTTGATCAATATAATTAACATTTACCGATTTAAAAAAAAAAAAACAATTCAAACCAATTAACTCAAACTTATATATGCAATTCACATTGAAGTATTACAACACTGGCCAGAAAATACTGATAAGCATTCAACTTGAGAAAAACCAAACTCTATTTAATGAATTAACAACATACTTAATGAAAGATAAACAAATGTACCAACAATGTAAAACAGAGACGAACATTAATAAAAACATAGAAATGTGTAAAAATGTATAGCCTGTATCTGCAAATTATCAGTAAAACTGAGACTTTTTTACTGTTTAATTTTCTCATCCTCCCACAGCCAACAATGAAGGAATTGCAGCCAAATTTGGAGTTGCATTCTTATTTGAAGAAGAAGAAGAATCCCTCTTTGAAGGCTTGCTAAAAGCTCTCATTGGGCTTGCAAATATCCACCCCCAACTTTTACTCCTCCCATTAGAAAGATTCCCTGAAGTGGCTGTTGCTGCAGTACCTTCAGTTGAAGATGAAGCCCAACGGGAAGAAAATGAGGTTGAAGAAGAAGATGAAGTGATGCTAAAACCACTGAAAATCCCACCACATTTTACCCTCTCTTTAATTCGAACTTGCTCATTATTATCTCCATTTTTGTGTTCTGAAGGAAGTTTAGATTTGCCTTCTCTATGAGACTCCACTCTGCGTAGAGTACAATCACCAAAACCAGTTGAAATTCTCTCAAAGAAATCACCAGAAAAACTCCTACGTCCACAACCAACAGATCTGGATCTTGATACCTTTCTTGGACTCTCATTTTCTTCACAACCCACAAATTCTTCCTTCTTGTCCCTTGATTTTATTGTAGCCACAGAACTTACACTACTAGATGGAAAGTTCAAATCTTTGCAATGGGTTTCAATTTTCTTGGTTGTACTCGAATATTTTGACAAGTAAAGAAAGGACCAGAACCCTCTTTTATGAGGGTCATAATCTTTAACATTTTCATTCAAGAAATGGATACCTCTTCTTGGAGCAGTGGTAGACTTGCTTCTCTTGAAATCTGAAATGGCACCATCTTTATTTTTCTGATTCCTTTGTGTCAAAACAAAGGGCAATCTGGCAGATGAAGATACATGTCGGCGAACTTGAAGGGATGTGGAGGTGGCGGAAGAGGTGGTGGCGCCACCAAAATCAGAACTGAAAGAGGGGGAAGAAGATGAAGAAGTAGAGGAAGAGATGGGTAGAGGGAATGAAGAAGATATTAATTTTCCAAGCTTCTCTTGGAGGCAAAATGCACAGATTCCACCTGGGGTGCTGTTCTTGTTCGGATGGTCTGTACATTGCATGTTACCTTCTCCAATGTCTTCATGCACCACTTCCATAACCATTTTTCACTTCCAAAATCTTGAAGTTTTTTAGAGAAAAAATAAATTACCCTATAGGTTCTTGATTTTTTTTAATTTTTTTGGTACTTTAGTTTTATATGTTGTCAAAAATGATATATTGAATGCCTGAATATGGCTTCACACTGAGAGGGAGGTGTAAGGGTGTAAATGAATGAAGAGTTGCAAAAATTTGGCACTGAAGTAGGGAACTGGTGATGAGGTGGAGTTGGAGTGGAGGAATGAGGTGGGGTCCGCATGAGCACGTGGAATATGACTAGTTTACATAATTTATTTATAAAAAAAAATGACAAAATAGTCTTTTTGTTGGTGCTAGACCCTAATTGCTATGTTTTGTAGCCATTATAATCTCTCTACTTAAGTTAAAATCAATAAATAATTTTTATCATATGAAAATCACATGCAATTTTACGTCTATGTAAATAGATTCTTAAGAATTTAGATTTACATAATAAAAACCTTAGGCCTTAGACATCGAAATCGCACTGCTTGGAAAAATTAGAGCGCATTTCTATTTTTCGAATAAATCCCTCTTCTATTAAAAGAGGGAACCCTCCATTCACTATTCATTTTAGACGTATTTCTGTCTTCCAATTTTATCCCTCTACTGTTCAGCAAGAACCAAAACGCTTGGAGTTAAAAAATGTAGGCGGCAGAAATATATGAATAAGAATGCTCTCTCATTTGGTTCATCTTTATATTCATCACTGTGAACATACATGTACCTACTTATGTACAATACGTACTCTAATTACCTAAAAAGTAGTTCTTTCTTAGCCTCGATCAGCGTTATACATTCATCTTTAACATCAAATTTCGACATAACATCTTTAACATCAAATTTCGACAAAACTTAACCGACGACACTTCTATGAACTAGAAAATAATAGCAGCAATTATTATGTTATCGACCTTGTGATTTTGCACGATCTTTCATTCTTTCTATAACAAAGAAAATATCAATTGTAGCACTTTAATTTGTATATCATATCGTTTCAAGTCCTTTGTGATAATAGGATCTAATTAAATTAAAACAATTCAATTAATCCCTGACTTAATGCATCATTCAAAGAGAGAACAAATTTGCTTTAAATAATTTGAGAAGAATGAGTTTGTTGCTCTGAATTATCATTTCTTACTGCTTATCCACGTCGGGGAATGATGGAAATAAACTTCATCGTCGGGAGAGAAACGACCCATATCTCCATCTAAGGCCCTAAATGATGGTATATTATTGCTTTTAGTCCATAGACTCTCTAGCGATCTTAATAAGTTTGTAGAAAATATCGAAATTTTATTGACTGCAAATAATTTTTTTACATCGGTTATCCATCAAACATGGTCTTAGATTGAACTTGTATGCCCATGGGGTTGTGCTACGGTTGAGGGGTGATAAACCAGTCGAACCAAATCACGAATCGAGCTCAAATTTTATTTCACGAACATCGCCGAACATAATACATACAATCTAGCACATTATATGCAATTGATGTTTGCATTTTTCACTTTTCAACAACTTTTTCAAAGAACAATCGTAATTGAAATTGAAAATTTATTATGTCAATACGGATAAATTGATGGAAACTGCTATAGAAATTCAGATAATTATGGTATAAAATTTCTCAGTTACATTGCATCCTCCATTTTCGGTTGACATTATTGATAACTACTCAACCCTTCACATGGGGTTGGAATGAAAGCATATAACACTGAGAAAAATAAACAAGAAACATACTAACCGGACAGTAGAAAGCAGCCAATCGACCTTACAAGCGAGCCTTTGCTTGATCCACGCTTAAACTCTGCGTAATACAAGATTCAAATTTCTTAGCAAAGTATTATCGGCATAAAAAATGTTACAGCTTGGTTTTCAATAGTGCGTGCAGCAGGTTATCAGTACTAAAAACACTAGTATGAAAGTTTGGTCGAGAGGATTAAGTGGTAATGGACATTATTAAGAAACAAATGTTAAAATTTATACATTATCCTGTCCAATACTACTTTTCGAACTGGCACTACATGCTTAGAATAGAAAGTTCTCAATTTAATGCTTTAAGATCAGTACTAACTGAATGATTAATTTGTTTAGTTGTGACGTTTTTAGAACAACTAGGTCCTACGATTCAAAAATATTTCCACCAAAGTCCTACAAGGCTGTTTATCCATAATGCAGAAACAGAATATTAAGATTCTCACAAGGGGAGCTCCCTTTGCAGCTTGCTGGGCCAAATAAGAACAGGGCTTGAAGAATCCTCCATACAAATTCGACCACTCCTCCAATCTCGAACAAATGTATTTAGATCCAAGAGTATCCGCCCAAAACATGATCCCTCCCCTGGTCAATGAATATTATTAGGAATTACTTTTGAAGATTATAAATGAAATCTTCCCAATTCAATATGGTAAAACAAACCTGTAAGGAGGAAATCCCATGCCCATAACAGAAGATATGTCCAGATCGGCAGCTTTAACTGCAATACCTTCATTGAGCACTCGACAAGCCTCATTCACCACAGGAAAGAATATCATCTCCACAATATCCTTGTCCGATAATTTTGTCAACTGGATGAAAAGTTTAAATCACAAAATTCAGAGGTGGAAATATACAATCATTGAAACAGGAAAATGATAGAAATTTGGGAATAACCTTAGGGTCAATGGTGACACCAGCAATCTCCCTCGCCTTCTCAACATATTTCTTTATTTCTGGATCTGGGTTGGCTTTGCGTTTCTCATCATAAACATAGAATCCTCTGCGAGTAGTTTCACCTAAAAGCAAGAGCAATTTCAATGAAGCACTTCATGTGCTGAAAAATACATCAACTAAGCATTACCCATATACTAGTGGTACTGAGTACTAGGTAAGACAAAGATTTCTGTTTCCCTTTCTACTTTAATACTATCAAGTACCATCTATTCTACCTTACCAAACATGCTAATATGAGTTAGTGACAAGTTTTGAGATTAAAAGAAAGATATACCAGATCTCTTATCCTCTTGCATAAGCGGTATCAACATTGATTTGTAAGTTCTCTCTGGGAAATTCAAAACAAATTGACCACCAGTAGCAATTGCAACGCCAAAACCCACAAGGTCGCACAATCTATGGAAATTGAAATTAAAACCATAGAGACAGCAACTCAAAATATTTACGGCTAAAGAATAACTGATATAATATATTATAATCGTGCTGTGATGGTGCCTAATATATTACCTGAATGGACCCATCGGCATTCCAAATTTCGTAATTACCCTATCAATCTGGTAGATATCTGTACCACGTTCAACAAGTAATAGGGCTGCTTGAGTGTATGGGAAAAACATTCTGTTGACAGCAAAACCAGTGCAATTTCCAACCACGACAGGCGTCTTCTTTATCTTCTTCCCAACATCCAGTAAGTCAACAATTACTTGAGGTGATGTCTTTGGGGTACGAACAATTTCCAAAAGTGGCATCACATGAGCTGGACTGCAATAATTGTGAAATAATTGCTGTATCAAAGAAAAATACAGGAATATTTTTTAAAAATAGAATATCCCTAATTTTTTACCTGAAAAAATGGGCTCCAATAATACGATCCTGAGACTTGGTCTTCTCCCCAATAAGATTTAGATCAATAGTGGATGTATTACTTGCAAGTATGCAATGTGGGGTGCAAAATTTTTCAAGATCTAAAAATATTTGCTGCTTCAAAGACACGTTCTCGATGACAGCCTATTCCACGTGTGTTGGAACACAAAATAACGGGTCACCCATTGAGAGAGATAAGAAAGGGGCGGGGGGCGGGGGAATTGTACACGTACTAATAATATATCTTAAAGTTACCTCTATGACCATGTCCACGTCTCTAAAGCTTTCATAATCAAGGGCACCCTTGAGTAAAGAAAGAGTTTTCTCATACTTCTCTTGACTCATGTTCCCTTTCTTAACACGGCTTTTTAAATTTGCTGAATGACATAAATAACAAATGGTTTTATTTTCTATTGAATGCAATCCTAGATGTCAAATCGAGGTTTCAGCCATTCTCACCTTTTACTCTATCAATACCAGCTTGTAGGAACTTGTCATTGACTTCTTTCAGGATAACTGAGTAACCACTAAGAATCAAAGCTGTTGCTATTCCAGAACCCATAAGCCCTCCACCAAGTATTGCTACCTTGTTGATTCGCCTTGGCTTCAAGCCTAGATCGCTGACCCCTGGAACCTGTTTATAATCAGAGGGAAAATAGCCAGTAAATTAAAATGTGTAACTAAAGATATGACGAGAAATAAGAACAGGGGAGTTCTCGTGAGTGGAGAAAAATATATCTTCTGTGCAATTATTTGCTAGTTACTGTCGGACTGCAAGGAAAATGATATAAATATAGCATATTTAACTTCACTGGACCTTTGTGGTACCACGTTGGGCAAAGAAAATATGGACCAAACTCTTGCAAGTGTCTGAATGCAGAAGCCCTTGGAATGCTTCAGCTTCCTGGAAATATTAGATATCCAATGATCTTAGGACATGTTAAAGTAACTCGATTAAAAACAATTGAGCATTGAAATAGAAATGAACCTTCAAAAGCCCAGCGCGAGGACCAGAAACTATGCCCTCCTCAATAACATCAATGCAAACTAATGGATGCTTGAGGTTCGGAGCCCGTTTACGGGTCTGAGCTCGTGCAAAATTAAGTATTTCCCTTGCCTCACCTAGAGGTTCTAACTTGTCAGTCCTGTAGAAACTGTTTATCCAAGGTCTTTTTCGCTCCAAAATATCAAGAGCCCAGTGACGAGCAGTATTCACTAATTCCTTTGATGAAGCTATGGCATCCACAAGGCCTAAACTTAAAGCCGCCTGCCCTTTCACAGGCTTTGATGTCTACGTTACAGAGAGAGAGAGATACACATTACATGTCAAAAAAAAATTATCAAGCTACACAACCAAACACTGAACTGATTTATAGGCAAGTTACAGCTTACCAACATCATTTCAAGTGCCTTCGCTAGACCTACAAGGCGTGGCAGTGCCTGTGTTCCTGAGAGATGTAAGAAAGAGACGGAACGTGATTAACAAGCAATTGGTGGGGAAAATCATTAAAATGGATACAGAATACATTTCGAAAATCTTTCACCACTCATAACAATGGGACTATAGAAGGTTAAATAGTAATCAGCAAGTGGCAATAAAATGCATCAATTCAGAAACTTGAGCAATAGAGAAAATGAAAACATGAAGAAGAAAAAGTTGGTGTCCATTACATTTTTTTTTTTTTTTTGATAACCGTGGATGTTCGGGTTAGCTTGTGCGCACCTCGACTAATTCCACGGGGTCTTGAAGTTTACGGCCGGGTACTCACCTCAGTGACCCTGAGGGGATTCGAATTGGTGACCATTGGGAAGCAAACCCAAGGCGTGACCAATTGAGCAACCCTTCGGGGTTGGTATCCATTACATTCAAACATTACATAGTTTCCTAATCATGTTAAAACATCAAACTTCCACGACCCTTCTTAATCATAAAATATAAAAACAACTACCCAACTTCTTTAGCATCTTTTCCTAGACAAAACCTATATCTATACATTGACGTGTTTCTAAAAGTCTCCTGGAATTTTTGGCACCACAGCATTACATGTTCTTTTAATTACCAGATGAAATTACCCTCTTGAGGTCATTCTGTTTTGTCCATCTTATGGAACAACAATCAGCGAATACGAGGACACCAACAAAAACAGATGGACGATCTTGCTAGCCCGAGCCAGTTTTCCAATTTATTCATTGATGAGTTAAAGGTTACCCAAACAATAGATTTTTGTTTCTCTTTTTTTGTTGTTGGAAAAATTACTCATAAGATGAGCTTTCCAGCCCGAGTCAGTTTTGCAATTTATTCATTAATGGGCAACACTGGTTAAAAGGTTACCCAATCAATAGATTTTAGTTTCTTTTTTTTTTCCTTTCTTTTTTCCTTTTTGTAAAAATTACTGAGTATTATTAGTACTATAACATTATTCAAAAATCTCCATACCTCCAAATCCAGGAATAACCCCAAGCTGCAGTTCTGGTAAACCTAGTTGTGCATTAGGAGTAGATATGCGCGCATGGCAACCCTGAAAGCAAGACAGCAAATGTCATCACACAAATTCAATAGGAAAGTATTGAGGAACTGAAACAAATGGAGAGCTCACCATTGCCACTTCTAATCCTCCACCCAATGCAAGACCATCAATTGCGGCTACTGAGGGTTTTCTTGCAGCTGAAAACAAAGACACCCATGAACAAATAAAAAAAATATAAACAAATAAAATTAAGAAAAACAATTCCTATGCTACTGCACACGTTACTATGGCCTGACTGATTATAAAACCCAATAATATACCTGCCACAGTATCACATAGAATCTCCATTGACACAAAACCTGGCTTCGGTGCAGCAACTGTGATCAATACAGGGTACTATTAGCAAAGAATTGATGAGGCAATAACAAAACAAAAACTATACGTAAAAGCAAACAAATAACATGTACCAGTTCCTCCTTGGATTTTACCAAATGCACTGATATCAAATCCGCCAGAAAACTTGCGTTGTGCACCTGTTCAAACATGATAAATTACCTTCCATATTTTAGTCATCTCCTGTGCATAATATAAAACAACAATCTATCATCATTTACCTGTTACGACAATTGCCTTCACGTCATCTCTTCTCAAAGCTTGATCGTAACTCTCTTTTAAGCTGTTTAATACTGGAAAAAGGAACAAAAAGGAAGTTAAGCAAATGTTTGTGTGAACAAGAGAAACTAATCACTAACTGCAATCCCAACCTACAGACTGATCATATCTCTACCCCCGGCCCCTCCTCTCTTGTGTAGATGCATGCTCTTGCATATTCTACTTTAGTTGCTGGGGGCAAGGGAAGTTCTTCACAAGTTGTGGCCTTATGATTTTCTTTGGGTTTTGTATATGGTGAGTGTGTTTTGCGTGGGGGGTGGGGGGAATTGGCCATCTCCATAGACAGCAATATGAGATCAAATTAACAGCTATCACTTGTTATTAATGTTTTTCAAAATGCAAACTTTGATCTGTAATGCGCCGAACAAACCATCTTTGTTAATATACAAACGCCCTCAAATTATCATCAAGCCATAATTCGTGATCAATAATCGTAGAATGCAAATTCATTTATCAAAGCATCTGATTTACCTCAATTAATTAATTCAAATATGAATTTACTGGCCTTTTCACATAGCTAAACGTTTGCAAGTAAAGAAAAAAATAAAAAAAATTCATCAATAATCCTGTAGAACCTCGCAACAGTAACCAAGAAACCATAATAAAAAATTAAAATCAATTCGCAGATTTCTGTGAACACACGTGAGTTGGACTGAACCAGTATGAACAATTTTAAGAAAATTAATCAACGAACTAAAATCCACTAACATCGAACCCATGATAACAAGTTTCTACAAAATCAAAACGAATCCATAAAAGAAAAGTGAAATTCAAAACGAAACTACACGAATGAGATCTGAGGCTAAAGTAGAAAAATTGTAAATAGTACCGTCCAAGGATAGAGAGTTAACAGGTGGGTTAATGATGGTGATGATGGCCACCCCGTCAGTCCCAACATCGATCGTTGTTCTTCCCTTTGTGCTGTTCATTTTTTTCTCTCACCGCAGATCAATTTCTTTCTTCCGAAGAACGAAAATAGGAATTTCGATTGATTGTTTCTTGAGTATTGAGCAATTTAAGGAGGTGTCGTGCCTGGGGATGTGGACAGTGACGTTGGAAGGCAGCTCAAGATATACACCACAAGTAATAAACAGAACAACGTTATTTAATACATGATTTTTAATGTAAATTAAAATGAATAATTAAATTTAATTCATAAATTTTCGACCATACATTTCATTAATTTTTATCCATTTTTACTTCTCGTAAAAGTATTAAATAATGAGGTATTGAATCAACACTGCTCATGTTTGACATCTATTCTCTTCCAATTCTCTTTCTCATTTTTTTCTCTTTCTTCATTTCAACCACACGTTCTAACAATAAAATAATATTACAAATAAACCTAAAAAATTTTCTTGTTTTTTAATCACACAATCTTCTCATCGATTACAATTCCAGAATTTATTCTTCTCCAAACGCAAATTGGAGATTATCTCTATTGTTCTAGTAATGCGTGCATAGCAAAAATTTAAGTGAAAGTCGACCCCACATCTCATATTTGGTTAAAAATTAAAAAAATACCACGTCTCACAAATTGTGGGATGTATAGTTCCAATATGGTGTTTGAAATCCATTTTTGTGGAAAAATATGTTTTTGAATAGTAATTGATGGAAGAATGTGTGGTTAAAAAGTAAGGAGAATTTTTAGGTTTATGTGTAATATTATTTTATTGATAGAATGTGTGGTTGAAATGAAGAAAGAGAAAAAGAATGAGAATGAGAATGAAAAAAAAAT